ATTTAATTTCATTGTTTTCTGAAATAAAATTTGATCAGTTTAAATGCATCTCAACATAAAAATAATGTTCAGCTCCATTAGACATTATAAAATACTTTTTAAATTTTGTTCATTTTAACAAAAAGTTAAAATTTGGACAGAACTTATGGGATGACCTGATATATCTATCTCGTTGTTCTTTAATTATCTATCTATCTATCTATCTATCTATCTATCTATCTATCTATCTCTACCTATATATATATATATATATATATATATATATGAATAACAATATATATTTTTATATATAAAAAACAGTATTGGGGAAATTGTATCTTTTTCCACTTTTTCATACAATTTCCCCAATATAATCATATCTATCAATCTATAATTACAACATCTCACCATTCCTGGCAAAACTTCTAACATCCTAAATTTTAAGTTGACTCTCTAGCTTCTAATATCACTTCTTTACTGCTGTTAACTCCTACTTCCTGCTTCCTCTAGCTCTATGGACGTGAACTTCATTCCACACCGGGGAAAATAGTCTATTCCCCACATGAGATAAAAGATTTTTTTGACTTCATCATATTGCTCTGTGTAAATAAAATACATCGAGCTCTCTTTTGTGGATCAGTTTTAATATTTTTATATTACTAGGACCCACTTGGATTATATACCCATGAATTTATTTTACCTTTATATATATATATATATATATATATATATATATATATATAATAATTATATATAATTGTTGCTTTCCTGACTTCAAAGTTTCTTGGTAAATGTCTTTTCTTCAGTGGATTTTAGTTTTAAATGATATTTACAATTTTTTCTCCATCTTTTCTTTTTCAATCCTTTTTTTACTCTGTTATATATATATATATATATATATATATATATATATATATAAGGCTCAAACATTAATATTCCATGGTTATAATTTATTATATTGGAATCATAATCACAATCCAATTCATCAAACCTACAAATTCAAAAAAAAAAAATGTAGGTCTGATGAATTGGATCATGAGTATGATTCCAATGTAATAAATTATAACCATGGAATATTAGTGTTTGAGCCTGTTATATTATACTAACAGCATGGCCCAGGGTTGCCCATACTTGATTCAAAAATCGTACGACTCATACAGCAATCGCTATCACTTGACTTAAAATATTTTTACCCTTCCTTGCCTTTAAAGGAGTGCCCTTCGCCGTGCTGATGTTGCTACATGCCTTACTTCTTGCCTATCTCACACTGCAAACTTTTTCTAAGCTCTATACTAAATATTAAATCTGTTACGAAAAAAGAACTAAACAAAATGAACACAGAATGATTAGCTTTAAAAAAGGACTCGTAACTGGAAAGACTGAATGAAAAAAGAATGTTAACAACAAATACTTTTTCACAACCAACCCAGTTCTGTGGAATCAGAATCAACGTTGAGTTTAAGCAAGCGAATGAGCCAATTGGAGTAAAGTGCCATGCAGATTTAAATTTTTCTCATTTGTGACGAATGCAGCTATTGATTTTTTTTTGCATGCTAGCATGCTAATTAACATTCGTGTCAGTCAGCTGTTGGCTCTCACGCTGGCCAATAGGATCTTCCTGCCTATTCGTGGCAGCCAGCTATAGGCTCTCACTCTGGCCAGTACAAAATGGCTGCAAACTACATGAAAACTGCCATAGAAACATGAAAAAGTCAATTATTTCCACTATCAATGGGAGTTGGGAAATGCAAAGTCAGTCTTGACCTTTCTGTTAACTTGGAGCATGTGCATGTAAATTTTGGTGCAAATCCATCAAAAATAGCGGCCGTGCATTCATTACACACACACACACACACACACACATCCTGCCTTTTATAGATAGAGATTCTTGCTCTGTCTTGTACATAGAGCTCTACCTGAATTTCATACTCCTGGAAATATATATATATATATATATATATATATATATATATATATATATATATGTGTGTGTGTGTGTGTGTGTGTGTGTTAGTTATATCCAGTGAAATGTTTTTTGAATATTCATGATTTTATTTTCCCATATTGCATCAAAGACTGACAAACTTCTAAAGAGAGAATATTTCTCATTTTGACTCTCCCTAAGATAAATTTCTCAAAGATAAAAACTGTTATTTTGCTTAGGTGAGGTTTTATTTGGTAGTGAATAAGCAAAGGGTAGAGGTGAGTGAATCAAGGAAGCTGATGGTTTTGGTAAGTAGATAATAAAAGCATCTACATCTGTCCTGTTCCCTTGATGCTTTGTGATTCTTGTGCTTTAGTAGTCTTGGCAAAATGCAGAACAACGATATCTTCATGGTCCATTTAGAAATTGGCTAGTATTCACAGAAAATAAAACTACTAAATATCATTATATAAGAAAGAGAAAAATAAATAATAAAAAATATAGAAATAAAAAAAAGATTATTATTATTATTATTATTATTATTTTTATTATTATTATATTATCACTAAAATTCTTTGGTGAATTCAATTGCAGATCAAGTGAAAATGTTTTCTTGTGGATTGTTACTCAGCATTCGTTGTTCAATTGTAATTTTGGAATATGTTTTTACTAATTGTTCACAAAATGCAAGGCCCAAGAGCCACCCAAGAGTGGTTACAAGGCCCAAGAGCCACCCAAGAGCGGATACTGAAGGAATTTGTACAAGCATAAAAAGAGGAGGTAAGGAGGAATGAGGATATGGAGGAAAGATAACAGTTAACCCAAGAATTGTGCAGGTCAGCAAGAGAACTCACCCAGAAGTGCAATTCACAGCCACATGGCACTAATGCAGCAATGGGTAAGCTTGCTTACAAAACCTGTGAATTAAAGCGTAGATCTCTCACTAATAAGTCATTAGAGACATTGTTAATGGCAAGAAAATCAAAATAGAACTGGTCATATACAAACATGAATTGACATTCAACTACTATATATATGTATACACACACACAGACACACACACATACATATATATTATTTATATAGCAATTACATATTTATTTTTTAATCACTTCATCTCAAGGAAGATATTAATGCCACTAGAACACAAGAGATTACAGAGTACAAAAGAGTGTGAGAAGACAATAAAGGAATAGGATTCAGGAAGACAGAAGATGGCGATTGGCATTGTGTTTAAATTTTTAGAGATTTTAGGTGGCAGGGAAGCAACAAATTGGAAATGAGCTTTGCAGTCTAGAAGTGCAAGAAAACAGATTATTACAGTAGAGCATATGGTTGTATCTAGCAAGTTTATCATTAAAAGAGTTGTTAATCTAGTAACATCCTTAAATTCATGCAGTTCACCACCAGTCATAATGAATAGGTGTCCCATTGGGGAGGTCCCATGGCTTGAGCATCTGTTGGGCCTTAAACTCACCCCTGACCTCAAGTGAAACTTGTACATATGATCCTTCGCTAAGGATGCAGGAAAAAGTTTGGTTCTATGTACCACTTCAGTAAGTACCTAACTCCTTATGCTAGCTTCTACTTCTACAAGAGCCAGATAAGGTCTAAAATAGAGTACAGTTCTCATAATTTGGCAAGAGCTTTCCAGTCTTGATAGAGTCCAAAAGCATCTCCGTGGACTTGTGGGTGACAAATTATTTTCAACCCTTCAACTCCTTTCTCACAGATGTGATATATCAGGCCTCTCACTGCTCTAAAACTACTTCTATGGAAAGTGCGTGGATGAATTAAATTCTTTGGTTCTGTCAATTAGAACATTCACGGCTAGGAGCCACCATGCCACTCATATTGTAGCAAAAATTTGGAAGAATATTATCCCAACAGTAAAATTTGGAGGCAGATCAATCATGATTTGGGGTTATTTTAGTGCCCAAGGTGTAGGGTACTTTGAAATAATAGAAGGGAAGATGAATGGAGCATATTATAGGGATATTTTGAAGAAAAATGTATGTCAGAGTTCACAGTCACTGGGCTTAAAAAAGGTTGGGTCTTTCAAACAAGGCAATGATCGTAAACATAATGCAAAGCATGCACAATCATGGTTAAGTTCAAATGTTCTAAAATGGCCAAGTCAATCTCCAGATCTCAATCCAATTGAAAATTTATGGAGAGAACTGAAACTAAGAATTCAAAGAAGGAACCTTCAAAACTTTCATGATCTAAAGGAATTTTGTCATGAAAAATGGAAAAATATTAACCAAGAAACATGCAAGAAATTTGTAGGGGAATACACTAAATATCTAAATGCTGTAATTAGCAATAACAGATATGCTATAAAATATTAATAGATGATTTAATAAATGTATTGTAAACTTTTGCATTATTAAATATTGGTTTTTCTTCATGGGATAATTTTATTGATTATTTTTTAAAATCTGATTGTTTAACTAAAGGCTTAAACATATGTATTATTAGCAGCAAAAGTTTCATTAATCTGTGTTAGAAATACCTAAAGATACATTTTAATGAAAAATAAACTTTTGCATGGGACTGTATATATATATATATATATATATATATATATATAAATCTACAATTATTATTACGTTTACCTCTTCTGTTGTTTTTGGTGTGGTTAATTCTGATTTTTGTGATAAATTGTATTTTGCTCCCATATGTGGGTCGAGTAATTTAAAAAAAATTTTCTCTCTATTTCTTGTCCTTGAAAGAAGCCCTTTGAATAAAATTCATTAAATAATGAAATTTGACAGAAGGAAAATATGTGGTTAGGTTAAAAGTGAATGAAAGAGAAAGAGAAGATAGGATGAACCAGAAAGAAAGAAATTCAGAAAGAAGTTTGTTAAAAGTAAAAGAAAGAGAATAAGAAGAATAAGCAATAAAAAAGATGAAAAAAGAAACAAACAAACACACAAAGAAACAAAGAATTTTTGAACAGTGTTGGTAGATGATTGAAAAGAGAAATTGATGAAAAAAAAATTATTTGGCATAGAGAAATGAAAAAAATACTCAAAATGCGATTAAGTGGGTAAATTTAAGAGAAGTCAGAGTGAGAAAATAGAGGAGAGGATCTCTAAAAAGATTTGAAAAGAAAGACAAATAAATAGAGAAAGAAGAAGTTAAGGAAAGAAATGAAAAATGAACTGTATATGGAGGAAGAAGAAAAGTAGAGAAAGGAGAATTTTTTAGATAATAAAAGTGAGTGATAGGCAAATATGGTGATGAGAATATGAATGTAGAAAAAGAGGAAGTACTTCATAAGAAGGTAACCTGTGAAAGCTTTTTTGGGAGGAAAATAAAAATAAGAGGGTGCCAGATAAGGCCTTATAGGAGGGTGAAAAAATAAGAGCCAGGGAAAATCTTATAAGTGGAAGATAAAACTAGGAGGGAGCACATAAAGGCATTATATAAGGAATACAGAAATAGGAGGGAGCCAGATAAGGTCTTATAGGAGGAAGATAGTAAAGAGTCAAAGGCCCTATATATGGAATGTAGAAATAGAAGGGAGTCAGATAAGGTCTAAATGGAGGAAGATAGTAAAGAGTCAAAGGCCCTATATATGGAATGTAGAAATAGAAGGGAGTCAGATAAGGTCTAAATGGAGGAAGATAGGAGAGAGTCAGAGAAGGCCCTATATATGGAATGTAGAAATAGGAGGGAGTCAGATAAGGTCTAATTGAAGGAAGATAGGAGAGAGTCAGAGAAGGCCTTATAAGAGGAATATAGAAATAGGAGGGAACCAGATAGAGTCTTATAGGAGAAACATAGGACAGAGTCAGAGAAGGTCTTATAGGTGGAATATAGAAATGAGGGAGCCAGATAAGGTTTTATTGGAGGAAGATAGGAGAGAGTCAGAAAAGCCGTATAGGAGGAATATAGAAATAGGAGGGAGAAAGATAAGGTCTTATAGGCGAAAGATAGCAAAGAGTCAGAGAAGCCTTATAGGACAAATATAGAAATAGGAGGAAGCCAGATAATGTCTCATAGGCGAAAGATAGGAGAGAATCAGAGCGGGCCATATAGGATGAATAAAGAAATAGAGAGGGAACCAGATAAAGTTTTCTCGGATGAATATTGAAATAGAAGGGTGCCAGAAAAGGCCTTATAGGAGAAATATAGAAATAGGAGAGAGCCAAATCAGGTCTTATAGCAGGAAGATAGGAGAGAGTCAGAGAAGGCCTTATAAGAGGAATATAGAAATAGGAGGAAGCCAGATATGGTCTAATTGGAGGAAGATAGGAGAGAGTCAGTGAAGGTCCTATGAGAGGGAGAAAGATGTGTGAGCCCGTGAAGGCTTTATACAATTAAGACAAAAATAAGGGGAGACAGAGATGGCCTTATAAGAAGGAAATAGAAATAAACATTATGCGTATATACTAAAACATTAAAAGAAATAAATCTGAAAAGTCTAAAATGCACACAAGATATATATATATATGAATACCACATTTTTATTTTAAACTGTCTGTGCATAAAAAATAATTTTAAAGGTAATAAAATTGTTGGATTAAATATATTTATATATGTATATGTTTGTGTGTGTGTGCGTATGTGTGTGTGTGTATCTTAGGATCACAGTAACATTAGACAGATACTCACAAAAAATATCAAAATACTAGTAAAATCAAATAGTAAAAACCGACTTATAATCCTTGAAGTAAAAAACAACCATCAATAAATAAGAACAAAAATTACAAATTATACTAACCCCATCAATTGTCTCTACCTACCCTGATGATGACTTAAGAAAATCAAAAGCTTGGACAATATTTCCTGTACTTTTCTTCCTAAATGAACTTTGGACATTTTCTGACAATGACTATTTGTGACTTGTAAAAGTCGATCATTAAAATTAATCGACATAAAATGTCTGTCACTTTAATAGTATTTGCCTTAAAAAACTTTTGTTGCTTAAATATACATATATATATATATATATATATATATATATATATATAGATATATAGATATATATATATATATAGATAGATTAGAAACACAACTGATATATATATAGAGAGAGAGAGTGAGAAAGAAACAGAGATTAGAATAGAGAGACAGATATGAACAGACTGAGAGAGGGCGAGTGAGAGTGAGAATAAAGAATAAGACAAAGTGAGGGGCAAAGATTGAAACAGAAGGAAAGATTTTGAAAGTGTGGTGGGTAGTGATGGTTGAGGTGGTGGGGAGGTTGAATAAAAAGAGATTTGCATGGAAGAAAAAATAAACAAAATTCTTTTTTGGCCATTTTTGAAAAGATGGAATTACTCAAAGATGCTGCAGATGTCAGGTTTCTTGTCCCAACAAGTGTCGCTTCCATTACTGCAATCAACTTTTGAATTCGAACTCCCCAGACATTATGGCCCTGCTTTATTTGTTTTTATTTTTTATTATTTTTTGGTTTATTTTTATTTTGGAATTCCATTCTTTGAATACAGACTTTCTCACAAATATTCTTCCTTTTCTTTATGTCTTTCTTCTTAGTGTCTCTCCTTTCTTTTATATAATTTGAGTTTAAAAACAAAAGAAAGATAGAGAAATAAATCTATTGGGTTCTATGAAGAATTCCTGAC